CAAATTATATAATTTTTTTTAGTATAAAATTCTTTAGTGTAAAATTCTTAAAATATGATTATTTTTTTATTATTTTTATTTTATATATCTGTGTATAGATAGATAGTAAAATGTAATAAAACATAAAAATAAAATAAACCTAAAAATAGATTTTTTCAATTAATTTTAATTAAATATACAAAATAATGTATCACATTAAAATACATATTTGTAAAACAATTTCAATGTTTTCATCAAATTTTATTTTATTTTATATTTATACATGCATATTAATTATATATAATGTTACACAAAATTGTGTACATAATCTTGTATGTTTTTTATCCTGAAAGCACAGGTCTGAATTACACAATTTTGCTTTTTTAAGTAAATTTATCTTGTGTATGTTTTCATATTTTGGGTGAAAATGGGACAAAAATACTGAAAATGTAACAAAAATCTTTTTGCAACTGTGTGTTTGTAAAGACTGGGAGAAAAACAGTGTTGCACTAAACACAAATTCAAACACTTTTGCTGGAAAATGATTGATATGTGATGCAAAACATTGCTGACTGGTTTGTAGTTTTCAACACATTCTTACTGATGCTTTTGTGATAATTGTCATTTTTGCAATTTTAACCAAAGCTCCTCATGTTGTCTAGCTAAATGACTTACTTTGTCCTTTAGGTTACTTTAGGTAATTTAGTGTACTTCATCAGTGCCCAGGGGCATAAAAACATGGTTATTTGAGCGAGGATATATACCTTGAACATTTTTGATGTAGCCATTCATGTTTTATCTCACTAAAACCTATGATGTCTCATTTACATTTTTTGCTTCATTGCAGGTTCTGTGGGCACAGGTGGGCGAGTGTGCAACCGCACGTCCCGTGGGGCTGACAGCTGTGAGGTCATGTGTTGTGGGCGGGGCTATGACACATCACACGTGAGCCGCACCACCAAGTGTGAGTGCAAGTTCCACTGGTGTTGTGCTGTTCACTGCAGGGACTGCCAAGAGGAGGTAGATGTGCATACCTGCAAAACCCAGTCATGACCCCACCACTCCTGCACTTCAGAGTAAAGATCCCATCTCAAACCTTTGACTTTGTACAGTGCTTTTCTGTGGCAAATTAGATAAAAGTCTATTCAGCATGGCAGACACAAATGACCAGCAACTTCAAAACTATGCAGATTTGTTGTAAGTCTTAAGTAGTTTTACCATATTTACTTACTGTTTTTCCCCATCATAACACACATATTTATTACAGTTTCTGAGCACAAGAATGCTTATCTTTAATGTATTTCATATTTTGAAATGTAAATACAAACTATGTAATTTAAAATAAAACTTACTTGTATGTTATGCTTGATAGTTGTCTGTAAAAGTTTGTTGTCCTATTTTCCAGTAAAGATCGGAAACTATAATTGCTTTAGATGTTTGACATGTTAACTGATATTTTTTCATATGTCTGTTGTACAAACAGTAAAAGTACTGTAAACATCATTATTTTGGAAAACACTTTTTGTGTCTGAAGGATATTCAGTCAGTAAAGCTTTTCCTTTCTGATTAATTCTTTTAGTGGCTCCAAATAAGACCCAGATTATATTAGACATATTATTATTATTGTGCAATATTTGTACAGGCGGAGGTGAATTTTGACAATCAAACAATGAACCATGAAAATAAATGAAAACATGGAAATAGGAACAACAGAAAACGGCACCCCGACCCTTACCAAAAAAAAAAAGGCTCAGTGATGACACCCTCAGGACATTTCAAATACCTTGTCTCTCCCTAACCTAAAAATAATAACATAAAGCATTTGATAAACATGATGAAATATCTTTTAATTTGTAAAGACCATAGCCTTTTTATGCATATGTTAGCATTGTTCTCAAACTTTAACAATATATTGCTTGAAAATGGTAAAATGGTAATGTATTCCACCTCTTCAAAGGATATTGTTTCAGTACATAAATGTCTATGATATAATTATTATAAAAACATTCCCTAAAAAGATATTTATAATATATAATTATCACATTGTATACTATTGCATTTAAATTGTTGTCTAATTATGTAATATACTGTATTTGCATAGATATTTACCTAATATATAACCATTTAACTTTTTGTTTTGTTCTTTGTTTGAAATGGAATGGTCTAATTTTGTTTTTGTGAACTTGATATGCTGGTAAATTTTCATGAATATGAAAGTGTTTCACTTTGCTTTTGAGTAAAAACAAAACAAAACTACATGTTCAGGTCTTGCACCATTTGAGGGCAGCAAATACAGTTAAATGCCATGTGCACACTTGACTGGATTGCGTTATGGTTGCTTCTGGGGCACATATAAGATTTCATATCCATGCATATGACGCAGATGTTTTTATTTAATAAATCTTATTTTGTTTTTGGCTAGTAAGAGAAAGCCTTTTTCTTGAAGACTTAAAGCGTTGATTTCTTATTCTTCTTTACACCCATGCATCATATTAAAAACCTGCAACAGAACAAAAAGGTGTACTTAGACTGACTTTTAATGACTTTTTACAGGCAATGCAATTCAATATCAGTACTTCATAGTAGTTTAAAAACAGTAAACAAAAAATGTGATAACGTTGCATACATTCATGTTGCATACATTCCTAGAATAGGCCTACTACTGATTGCAGTACAACTCATATCCTCCTGGGACCCAGGCATAGACTTTTGTCCTCTGTAGAGGACATTATATTTGAGTGAATTTCTCTGAGACCATACATGCCACAGTTTTAAATCTGGATGTCCTGTACAGTAGGCTACAGAGCACATTCAGGGATATCAAATGTTTGGAGGTTTGATCATAAACACACCTTCTCTTTGTTCTTTAAAAATGACATATTGACAGAATCATCAAATTTAGCACTCTTAGGGAAATATGATAATATTTTGCAATTATTTAAATCGGACTAATTTTCAAATTGTTTGTTGTAAATAAACATCTCACAAAAATGTTATGGAGTTTCAAATCGGAATATGACTTTTTGTTACGAAACAAGGCATAATTTTCATACATGTCTTCTGTAGAGGACACCAGGACAAACGGCATGTTAATCAGGCATTTTTGGGGAGACACAGACACAACAAGTCAATATGGAAATAAATTATAGATCAATATTCCTATGAAATATGAGTTATTCTTATGAAAATGTTGCCAAGTCATTACTCCCATTATATCACTTCTTTTTTCATTATGGTTTGCCCCAAGAAGACATTAATATGCAAATTATATGCAGATGCATGGGAATATCAATTTATGGATATTTATGCACATATTGCATGAAGTAAAATAGTATATCAAATCATTCTGTTATATCTTTCATAAAATAGTTGAGAATCATCTTTGTACAAAGTTTGAAAGTTAAAAATAGCCTGAAACCTAAAAAACAGATTGGTGAATGAAAAAAATGCATAAATCATTGTTTTTGCCTATACATGCCTTTTCCTATTTTTTTTATTTTTTTTGAATAACTTAGTCCTGACGTCCTCTACAAGGACATAGAATAAAATATATTTTTTCAAAAATGTTTTTTTCTACATTTGTTTCTTATGCTTCAACCAATGTAATGACAAAAAAAAAATCACAAAACTTTTTTTATGGTTCTCAAGAGGATATTCTGTATATATTCACGTTGTCATGTAATAAAACACTACAACAGTCACTGGTAGGAAGTTATGTTTAATAGTTTAATCAAAAATAAGTAAGTTTTATCAAAACAATAACCGCTCGGTTGTGTGTTGATTCGAGAAGAACAAGTTCATAAGAGTCATTTGTTCGTGAATCGAACTGATCGCGATGCGTGATTCCCTACAAAAGAGCCGACGCATGTGAGCCATTCTTGCCCGTTCGAGAACTGAACGTAAACGAAAATACGTTTTTGTTAAAAATGGAACGGGTGCTGAATAAGAGTCCGTTCTGTTCCCCACTCTATCCTTGACCTTCTCGTTTCCACGTCCTCACGCGCGTCCCGCGTCATAGGAGCAGGAATACAATCAAGGCGGAGCAGCGAGCCTGACTTCGTCCTCCCGCACACGCGCGGCATGGGCTCCACGCACGCGCAAGTCTACTCTAAACAGTTAGCCATCCCACAAGCAAGGCAGTTTATGAAAGAAACCGGGGGAGCACATTTGTTAGACCCTCTGAGCGAACAAAATTATCACTGGCGCAGAGGTACGACACGTTCAAGTTAAGTCGCAGCATGTTCACGTTAAATGAGTAGCATGTTATGTTATGAGTGACACTAACAGGTTATGTTTAAACTTCAGCGGCTAGCTGGCTGCTCGGGCATGCGAGTAGGTGTGGCGAGCACGCAGAGAGGTTCAGTGTGTGTCCGCGTGCGCTACATTGTACACCGTGTTCTATTAAATGTGGCGGGCTTCGTTAGTGCAAATATCTGTAAATGCGCTCGTCAGCAGCACCTGGACTGGAGTTGCATGGGAGTCGTTAACACTGGACTGTGACTGGAGCACTGATGGCAGGAAATGACGGTAGCTCTGGTAGTGATCCGGAAATGGAAGACGAATCGTGTAGCGGGAGTGCAGGAGGGAGTGAATGGTGGAAAGTAGTCAATCAGAAAAGAAAGAAAAACAATAGTTAAGGATTATTTACGGATAGTGGAAAGGAGGATCATGTGAGTAGGAAAAATATAGAGGAATACAAAGTAATGATGAAATTTGCAGAACCTGGTATGACGATAAACCCGATTAAACTGACCAAATCTCTGAACAAAGCGTTAGGAGAAATAAATAGTGCAAAGACTCTGAGAGATGGAAACTTGATTATCATGTGTAAGGACGAAAAACAACAAAATAAGGCACTAAGTATAAATTCGATGCTTGGATACCCGGTATCATGCACATTGATGAAGACGAAGCCTTGGGTTAGAGGCGTAATAACTGGAATTCCTACTGATGTACATGCTGATAAAATGAAAAGTTGCGTTGAAGGGGGGAAGGTAATTGGAGCAAAACGGCTTCAATATGTGAGAAATAAAGAAAGGATGGACAGTCTATCGGTTATACTTCAGTTTGATGAAGAAAGAATGCCAGAGAGGGTAAAAGTTGGCTATGTATGTTATCCAGTAAGACCATACGTACCTCCTCCACTTAGATGCTTCAAGAATAGTCCGAGCAGCTAAAAAGAAGTACTGGAGAGATTGGTGTAATTCAATAGGAGAAGATATTGACATAAGTGAAGTATGGGGATCAATTAGGAAAATGGGAGGAATTTATAGAAATCAAATTCTTCCAGTTTTAAAAACTGATGAAGGAAGACTAGCTGTGTCAGATAATGAAAAAGCTGAAATGCTGGCTAAAGTGTGTGTCTCAAAGATTACAAAAAGCAGTAGATAAAGTGGAGGTATGGGCAAATAATTGGAGTTTCAGATTATCTGTGGCTAAAACTCAAGTTATATGTTTCACAAAAGGGAAAAATGTTCCAACGGTTAAGTTGAAGTTGTACAAACAGGAGCTTGAGCAAGTCTCAGTAGTTAAATATCTCGGTGTTTGGATGGAATCTAGATTGACATTTGCAATGCACATTAAAAAACTGATTAAGAAATGTAAAACAGGAGTAAATATCTTACGATGTCTATCTGGGGTAGAATGGGGAGCTTGTAGATTGTCATTGAAAATAATTTATTGTACATTAATCAGACCAAGTTTAGATTATGGAAGTATTATTTACGGATTTGCATCTAAAACCACACTCAAAAAGATTGAAACTATACAGAATCAAGCTCTTAGAATATGTTGTGGTGCGTTCAAAACATCTCCCATTGCAGCCATGCAGGTAGAAGTTGGGGAAGCTCCTTTATTCCTTCGTAGGTATAAATTAAGAATGAATTATTGGGTTAATCTAAAAGGACATAAAGAGAGTCATCCAGTAAAGGGTGTGATTGAAGAATGCTGGGAGCATGGAAACAAAAATATTAAAAGCTTTGGATGGATTGCTAAAAGGGAAGCACAAGTTGTTGGTATTGCAGACTGTGATGTTAGCCCTACTGTGATATTATCCAGTATACCACTGTGGATTTTTCCTATGCCAATAGTCGATTTTCAAATACAAATAAAAATTAAGAATGAGAAAGAAACCCCTAAGAACATTATTGCACAGCAGTATTTAGATCAGACTTATCCATCGTGGTTACATATATATACTGATGGTTCTAAAGACCCTATCTCTGGCAGAACAGCTGCTGCAGTATTTATTCCACAGTTTCAAACTAGTATTAAGAAAAGAATAACTGATCATGTATCCGTGTATACAGCAGAATTAATTGCCATGGTGGTAGCACTCCAGTGGGTAGAGGATGTAAAACCAAGATTAGTAGTAATATTTTCTGACTCTTATGCAGCAATATTGAGCCTTGCAAGTGGAGTAAAAACATCAAGGCAAGACATTATTTATGAGATTCTTTTATTAAGAATAAGTAATATAAGCTTAATAACATTTTTGTGGGATCCCGCTCGATGTGGGAGTGGAGGCTAATGAAGTGGTTGATAAGCTTGCTAAGCAAGCTCTTATACACTCAGAAATAGATATTCAAGTGACTCTTAGCAAAAATGAGGTTAAAGGGAAAATTAAAGAATTAATAAACAAAAAATGGCAAGAAGTATGGAACTGTGATAACAAGGTCAGACAAATGTATAATATTCAGCAGCAAGTAGGAAATGGAAGAAGTGTTTTTAGGAATAGGAAAGAAGATACAATTATTTCTCGCATCCGAATAGGGCATACTAGATTAAATTACTCTCTGTTTAATATAGGAAAACATGAAACAGGTCAATGTATTTTTTGTAATCAGGCAGAAACAATAGAGCACGGTTTAATAAAATGTAAAAAATATGAAAAAGAAAGGTTAAAACTCATTAAGGAAGTAAGAAACATGGGTGTTGAATCATTTAATTTGTCAAACCTCTTGAAAGAGCATGCAGAACAAGGTAAAATATATGGTGCTATTGTTAAATACATTAAAGAAATAGGATTAATCAGGAGAATTTAGGAATGTGTGTGTTTTTTTTTTTAAATTTTTTTATATAAAATACAGATAAATATAAATATGTATATATTAGTTGCTTATTAGTGCTCCACACTCCAGTCCAGTTGGTGGCGGAACATGCACCAGAAGTTGGTTTGCCATCCGCCATAAAACGTTATTAGAAGAAGAAGAAGAAGAAGAAGTGCAAATATCTCACGTCACTTTCGGGACATTTGCCAGCAGAAATGTGCGTTGCAGTGTTACAGGAACTGTCCAGTTTTGAAGTGGTCAAGAGACAAACGAGCAACTTTAAAGTTGGGTGTCTTGTAGTGTTGCATGCATGGAAAGAATTCACATATCAGTCAAGGGGTTTGTGAAATAATCTTACGTAACCGTTTTAGTTACATCTGTGTTTCTGTTTCTGTTTCAGACTGGCAGCTTACACACAAGCTGCTGAGTTGTCATGAAATAATTCACCACTATATAAACTTTCTGTCATCACTTACTCATGCTGGGAATGTTATGCTCAATGACAACCTCAGTCACTTTCATTTTATGGAAAAAAAGGTTGCAATAAATGTGAATGGTGACTGAGGCTGTCAGTCAGTCACTGTCTACTATCTTCATTCTTCTCCACGGGTGAAAGTCGTTGTCTTAAGGTTATAACAACAGTTTATGTTCACATACTTAACAAAAAAAAAAGTTTTTGTTTTTCTTAGTGGAACAGATGCCAGAAGTTCCCCAAATTGTAAGATTAACTTATAAATGCCTTTATAAATTGTTTGTTTGTTCTAGGGCTTGTGAACACAGTCTTTTGGTCGTGCATGTCCCTGAGAGCCTGACGTTTCTCTTCAATGGCTGCCTCTGGCTCCTCCACCACAGTGCCTGAAGGATTTCACTATGAGACCAAGTATGTCATTCTCAGCTACCTCAGCCTGCCCCCGCCATTAAGATCAAGACCCTCAGAGACAGCGGAGGGTAAGAATTCACATCCACAAATTAGTACGTACAAACTGCCTGCCTGGCAAGAATCATAAGGAGTTTAATTTAATCTCAAAACAATGACAAAACTTTCAATGGTATGCTTGTCTTGCCTATGCAAGAAAACAGGCAGCAGTTGTATATTGTAGTGCAAGTGCACGAAATCACATTTTACATGTACATGCATGGAAAAAAGTCTTCTGCTTTATGCAGTACAAAATTCTTTTAGAAGTAATGGGACTGATGCAAAATTGTAAAAGTTTTGAAAAGTTTTAATAAAAATATTCGGTTGTAACAAATAGACTCTTGAATCTTTCAGATAGACTTATGAATCATTGATATGGGATGATATTAGACTCAAAATGATTAATAGACGCATGCACAATTATCCATGTACTGCATACATTTTATACATGTATCTTACTAACCACAAACAAATGCCTTTCAATTTGAGTCTGTGGAATTTGGGATTAAATGATTGTGCAGCGATTTGTACAAATACAGATATGCTTGTGAATAAAAATGTTCTGTTCTGCATTAATATATCATAAATTGCTCATGCAAAAAGGAATCCGTGCATATGTGGATCAGTTCGATGGAGTCGATCTTGTTCGGTTCATTTGGATTTTGAGACTTCATTTTCGCAGTTTACAGCATTTCACGTCCCACACACACACAACTACCAACGAACAAGGCCCAGTGCAATTCATTAACGTGTACACGATTTGAAAAAATCGCAAATGTGTGTCACTACACTGAAACAAATGCTTTTCAACCGGTGTCTGCAGAGTTAAGAATTACATTAATGTGCAGCATTTTGTTCAAATAGAGACATATTTGTGAATACAAATGTTATTGTTTGTATTCAAGTATCATGATTTGTGCATGTAGCGATTAAAATGTGCATTTGTGGATCAGGTGACACGCGTGCATTCATTCACATCTCTTCTGAGTCGATTCTGTTTGATTCATTTGAATTTTGAGACTTTCGTTCCGCCCTTTTAGCCTTGCCCAATCCACACACGCAGCTGAGCCAAAGAAAATCAGCGACCACTAGATGGCACTAGCCCCAGTCACATGTGCGCATTCCATTGTGTACAGTTTTATAAATGTTACATTGTGTTTTCTTTGTTTCTTTTTGGTTTGGCTATTCTCCTCTGCCAGTAGAAATACAATAAAGATGTTTTATTGAACTTGTTCTAACTTAACTTGTCTTAAGACACAGAATAGCTTATATTAATTTTGCCAAACAAGAACTTTGTGACGGTACCTTGGTTTTTT